TAAAAAATTCTGCTCTATCTTAAGGAGGTTGCGTAATTAATTATTTTTGAATTTTAGATGGCTCAATTCTTGTGTGTGTTTTTTCTCAGATAGGTTGCCTGTTTTCCCCAAGGCTTACCCCTTAACATTTTGGATGGCAATTTTAAATGTTCACACCTGTGGTCTATGCTGTGAATCACAAAGCACACAGGCCTTCAAGAGAAGACCTACTGGTCAATGTATAATGCTCTGTGTGTAGATGTTTTCACAATCTGTGCACCCTCCTTGCACACTGAGTCAGCAGCCTTGTGCCTTAAAATGCATTTTAGGAAATCGGGATCTGAAATTCAGAATTAGGATCTGGATATAGTCAATATTGTTACCAAAAGTCAAGCTGAGCTTGAGGGAGACTTACCATGTGTATATAGAAGCTTTATTAAAAATAGGAACATTGCCTGGTAAATTTAATTAGTTTAAATTTGCATCAATCTTCAGACCGTCTTCCTGACGATCAAATAATATTATTTTGTATTTATACACTTCCTGGACTTGTTACTACATGTGAGTGTTATAAGAAAGATTCCTTTCGGTGTGAGAGTGAGAGTGAGAATTCGTTTTCCCAGGTAGTCCTTCCACGTGCAATTTCTATATCTATGCTTACAGTGTGTCGCTTTATTATTTGGGGTGCCTTCTTAGTCTATTTAAAAGATTTTCAGCTTTGAAAAGAAAAAAAAAAACACTAGTCATTTGGAAAAATATTTGGACAAGGTCCTGGAAAATGGCAGTGGAGATGGGGTAGGAATCGTTGGTATACTTGCAGAGCAAGATCTCTCTCAAGTTTTGTGAGATTCAGTCCAGGTGTTGCCAGTTTCTATTAGAATAGATTGTGAAAGTCATTCGGTGGTAAGTTATATTTAGGAGAAAATGCAGTAGAGAAAGGGTAAATAGTACAAAGAATTCTGAGGTGCTCTGTTGAGTTAAAAATGATTCTCAGCTGAGCATACAAAATAATAATAAATACTGTAGAATTCAAGAAATATTTCCATTTATTTCCATTAGAGACTGTTATACAAGAGACTAAGTTAGACTTAAACCAGACCACTGCTTTTTTTTCTTTCTGGCTAGTTATCTCCCCCATGACCTATGAATGTAATTTTCTAAGGCCAAATTGTAACAAATTCATGGATGACTCATGCTAACCACATTCTCAATTCCTCTTATTCCCACAGAAATCTTGGATGGTCCCAATGCACCCTGTGCTTTCCCCTGCTTTTGTCTGAAAACATTGTAGGAGGGGAGAAGTGTTAGACTGTGGTGGGAAAAAAAAAATCAGCCATCTGGGAATATTTTTCCCGACTAAAAAGGATATATTAAGAGGCATAAGCTTTTTGTGATCTGCATCATCGGATGAAAAAAGCTGCAGCTCATAAAAGCTTATGCCTTTCAATACATTCTGTTAGTTAATGTCAGCAAAAGCAACCAGATCCACTCGTGAAAGGTTCAAGTCATCAACTATATTGTGTTCTGCCTCTATTTACAAGAATCTCCCCAGGCTGGGAACAACCAAATAAGGTTATGCCTCTCATAGCTGTGCAAGGACTCACGGCTAGTTCCCTGCTTGACCTTTCCTTCCTGACTGGCTGGGAGTTTCCCAACAGTTGGAAAAGGGGCTACCAGACTCCTTCTGAGGTTCTGTTTTTCCCGATAGTTTTTGTTCCAGAAATTCACATGCCGTAGGCTCCTATTGAGGTATACATTATTCTCGTGTAAAAAGTTTCAGGAAGGCCTAGATTATTTTTTTTTTAAAAAGTGGGGAAATGCTCTCCATCAAATCTTCAGAATGTCAAGGTTCCAAATAATATGTCCCATGCAGTAAGAACTCTGAGGCAGGCATATTCTTTGAAGAACATTTTATTGGAACATATCAAATTGGCAATTTCTTGGTGGAAAACCGGCTCTGGGTTCCCAGGGGTTTTACACCCAATTAAAAGTTGAACTTTGTTACTTCCCCTCCAGAGTCACTCATCACATGGTCCAAACAGCAGTCTCCTCCTTCTATGCACCTGCACCAATGTCCTTGATTCCCAGAGGAAAGAATTTTATTTTGGCTACAACATCCCAGCTATCTCTTCACCCTCCTCCCTGGCCCCTTCTCTCCAGGCTGTGTCAGAAGAAAACTCCCTAGAGAAACGCTACAAAGGAAAAAGGGCCACAGTTCGGCCACCTTCAGGGTTGACACAGAATTTATGAGAGAACCCCAACTGCATATTAAGGGAAGTGAATCCAGGAGCAGACATCGGCATTCCATTTTAATCTGTTCACCCCTCCCCCACTTCCCCCAAAACTCTTCATTGAGTCCATAATAACCTTGACCATCTACCACGGAACCATGCAGTGTGATTAGAAAAGATTGGGCATAGGCTTGTTTTATATCTTTCTACAGCCCCTAATAGCGATCTTATTAGTTTTATTGCATGCCCCCACCCACTTCTCCTTTTCCACACACAGTACCTTCCTCCTTTCAGTTAAGTTCACAATGTCTTTCTTTCTATAAGGGAACAGAATAGGATTTCTTTGCCTATCCCAAATTTCTCACAATATATCACTTTATGTTTATTTTGATAAAGGGCAGCTTCCTTGTGATTTTTTTATTGGGGGTGGGGTGTAAAAGTACTCCTCAATTTCCAACCACAATTGGGAATCAGAATTTGATTGCTGAGCATGAAGGTGGTTAATGATTTTATGACTTTGGGGGCATGGTTTCTAAGGGAATTACTGTAGTTGTTAAGTGAATCAAGCAGTCTTTAGTGAATTGGCTTCCTCTGTTGACTTTGCATGTCAGAAACAGGCTGGGGGGTTTGCCAATGGCAATTCCATGACCCCAGGAGGCTGCAACCATTGTAAATACATGCCAGTTGCCATTTTGATCATGATATCAAGGGGGTGCTGTGACAGCTGTAAGTGTGAGGACTGGTCACTTTTTTCAGTGCAATTGTAACTTTGAACTGTCACTAAATGAAAGGTTGCAAATCAAGGACTTCCTGTATTTAGAAACTATTCATCAGGGATCAGAATGCAGCTGAGATCTTTTAACTAAAGGGGACTTAAACACAACATGTCCTAGAGTAGGGGCGTCAAACTCAAGGCCCGTGGGCCAGATCTGGCCCATGGGGTGTTTACATCTGGCCTGCAGAGCCACCCTGGAAACAGCGAAGGCTCGCAGCCCGCCTGGGCTCCGTTTTCACTGGCAGAGTGCTAACAAAACAAACCACTAGCAAAATTGGCATTTGATCGCACAAGTGACGTCAAGCTGGCCATGCCCCCCCAGCCCCCCCCCCCCAAGGTCAAACACAACCCTGATGCGGCCCTCAATGAAATCGGGTTTGACACTTCTGTTCTAGAGTAAATACGAACCACAGAAATGGCAACCACATATGCCCCAGAAAGGAGATTTGAATTTACTAAGGGAGAAGACAACCATTCCAAGAAAAACATCCGTGGAGAACTCAGAGGATGAGAAAGAGCAGTGAAAGGAGAGGTGATATTCACTGGAAAACTATTTATTGGGGGAAATGGCATTGAAAGGAAGCACTATTAAGGGACAATGCCATGAAAATATGAAAACACTCACAAAGCACTCAGTAGGGGAACTAACAGTCAGTGGGAAATAGCATTGAAAGGAAACAGCTTTCATTGGGAAATAGCATTTAAAACAATAAGCAGTATTGAAGGGGTGGAAGTGAACAGCCCTGCAGGGGTAACAGTGGAACAGCTTGTATGGTGCACTTTTAATAGGAAGGGGGAGTCCAATACATGTTCTTTATTGCTGTAGAGAGGGAAGAAGAGAGCCAAGCACGATTTTTTTGGAGAAGCCAGAGAAAGGGGAGGTACAGCTGTCTTAAATGTGGGGGATTGGGAGTTTAGAAGAAAGAGGGGAAAATAAATGTAACGGGTCAGAGGTAGTGGAAGAAGACAACCATAAGTAAGGACAGATAGTCAATTAGAAAGAAGGAAGGAAGCAAAAAGACAGGTGTTCCTTTTATGGTGCAAGGATGATGACCATGGCCTCCAGACATTTGCAAGAGGAGGAGAAGGAATGAGGTCTTTATCATTAAGTACTTAGCTCTTTGTCTGAGTTGACTTAGTACTCTCCTTGCCTTCCTGAACTCACAGGATCTATGAATTTGGATTAGTTCAGGGAGTAGATATTGGTTCGTTGCTCCTTTGTCTAATCTGGATTCAACTGACGAGACAAAATCAGATACTTCTTCCAGGCTGTGAAGTCCAATTAAGCGGGATCTGCCCTAGGAACCTGGAAAGGTTGTACTTCTGAAGTGTAAAGAAGCGTAGGAAGGAGGAGATCAAGGAAGGAGGGCTTATATGGCCATCTTGAAGATGAGACTGCTTATCCAAATCACTGGGAAATCAGAGCAGGCCTCTGGCTATAGTGACCAGCCTCAAGTCCAGGCAATTAAGGAATGTGAACCTCAGGCTGCTCAGAGAATTCCCTGGAATAAATCAAGTTTGCAAGGAGGAAATAAACTCAAGACCTTGCACCCAGCTTCTATATTCATCTCAAGTAACTTCAACTAAAACATAAGGTTTCTCTCTTCCCGATTGTCCAAAAAGTTGGATTTTTAAAAAACTGCATTTCCCAATATGACTTATTCAGAAGGGGTAGTGAATCATCTCCTCACTTAAGCCAAAGTACACAAAAGGCATCCCAGTTCTGATTGGCTTACAAATCTGCTTTGGCCTGCTTGTTCAAGATGGGGAACATTGATTAAATCTTTAATCCAGTCACCTTTTCAACTTAATGTTAAAGTGCGTCTTTCCAATGTTTAAGCTTTACTCCTATGTCAACGTTACCTTTTTATCTTGTCTTTGTATTTTGCGTTAAATCTGGATTCATTTTATAGTTCTTTTTGTACTGTGCATATCTACTGTATATATTCTTGTTGCTAACATATTTTTAAGATTTCTGGACAGTTTGATGAATTCTTTTATTTCCTTTTTTTTAGGTGCTGTGCAATGGCCCAGGAACGTGTGTTCCCATATGTCTATCTGCCTTATTACTCAAAATACTGGGACTAAAGAAAATAACCATTGTGTACGTCGAGAGCATCTGCCGTGTTGAAAACCTATCTCTGTCCGGAAAAATTCTTTACCACTTTTCAGATTACTTCATTGTCCAGTGGCCTGCTCTAAAAGAAAAATATCCTAAATCTCTCTATTTTGGGAGAATAGTGTGACATGCTGCGGACAAATATAACTAATTCCAGTATGACCACTAAACATTTTTGGGAGTCTGAATTTCTTTCAAACTAGACCTGATGGTAAATCAAACAGACTGTATGTGTCTGCCATCCAAGGTCACATAGTTGACACCAGTGGTGGGATTCAAGTTTTTTTTACTACCGATTCTGTGGTCGTGGCTTGCTGGGTGTGGCAGGAGAAGGATACTGTAAAATCTCCATTCCCACCCCACTCCAGGGGAAGGTTACTGCAAAATCCCATTCCCACCCCACCACCCCACTAACCTGCTTTCCAGCTCCATTCTCCTATGCAGGGCAACAAAAGAAGACCCAACCAATCAGCTGGGACTCTGGAGGCAGAGAATAGATGGGGGCGGGGCCAGTCAGAGGTGGTATTTGCTAGTTCTCAGAACTACTCAAAATTTCCGCTACCGGTTCTCCAGAACTGGTGAGAACCTGCTGAATGTCACCTCTAGTTGACACCCTGGGAATACTGCTGCTTTGTTGCTAGTTCCTAAATCTGTGATGTAATTATTATTATTTTTACTTCCTCCCAAATCTGCTATATATATATTATTTTTGTACTCTACTACTATAATTGCTTTTAATTGTTTTTATTATTGCCATCCAGAGTCACTTGTCTGAGATGGACAGCTGTAGAAATTAAATAAGGATGAATGGATTAATATGACACCAGTACTGATGTGTTATGACATGGCGTTAAAATATAAAGACAAAGCTTGGGATGTGATGTGAACTGAACTACCATCTCAGAATTGAGAAATTACTGCTACATTCCCGTTTGTTACGCTTGACTAAACTTTTTTTTCCACAAAGTTTGCCAAGGTTTGACAACAGTAGTTAAGACGTCAGTATACTGTAGAGTCCCATTGAACTTTCTGTGGAAAAAGGTCAATTGAGAAGATGCTAGTTGGAGCAAATAGAGATTCTCCTTGCCAATTATCCCTGACTCCCTCCAGATATAGAACTATGTTTTAAGATTCAGATCATACAGCCTCATTTCAGAGGCCAATGAGATAGAAGTGTGTGTGTGCGAGAGAGATTCTAGTTTTGGTGTAACAATGTTCATTTCTTCTACTCAAGCAATAAAATACAGGTAGTCCTCGACTTACAACAGTTCAATTAGTTACCGTTCAAAGTTCAAAGCACTGAAAGAAGTGACTTATGACCATTTTTCATACTTTTGAGCGCTGCAGTATCCCCATGGTCATGTAATTCACATTCAGATGCTTGACAACTGACTGAAGGTTGCCGTGTCCCAGTAGGATCATATGATCCCCTTTTGCGACCTTCTGACAAGCAAAGTCACTGGGGAAAACAGATTCACTTAACAACCGTATTAACTCATTTAAGAAATGGAAGTGATTCACTTAACAAATGCAGCAGGAAACATCTTTCAATGGGGCAAATCTCACTTAGCAAATTTCTCACTTAGCAACCTAAATTTTGGGCTCAGTTGTTGTAAGTTGAGGACTTGCTGTATCTGCTGACTATTTTAAGCGTAAAGGGAACAATCAAATTAACCTGGCCCCACAACAGTTTTCACTCTGCTTCTGCTTTTCCAAAACAATCCAAACAATCTGCTATCCCATTTCACACACACCCCTAATCTTTTGGCCTAACAGAGAAGCCCTGTGATTTAAAGTACAGTTCTTAAAGCCTTGTCTTGAATTGTTAAGAAATAAAAGAAGTACTGGATGCCACAAACAGAAGCATCAGTTATTGTCAAGAAAAGCAGATTTTCCAAGTTTGGGATTAAATCTTTTTAACCGTGTTAAATTTCAGACAAGATACTTTCATCAGAGAAGTGACAAGATTTTGTTTTAGTATTCTTGGTAGCCTCATGTGTAAATACTTAAAATGATGCCAAAAGGAGTGGGGATGAGAGAGAAATGAAAGAAAAGTACTACTTTGTCAGCAAACATGAGTTTTGTGTATTTAGGTTTTGTTTGTTTAATACTTCCAGACATGTGGGTTAGTACTTGAAATCCTTTCCCTTAAATCAGAAATGGCATTAAATATCAAACACTATTAAGAATAATAGATTTCAGAGGAGACTGGACTTTCTGAAATGTGTTGCAGTTGTCTGAGATTCTCAGGCAAATTCTAGTCCAATATTCTGTGTATATAGCACACTAAAAACCTACTATTCTCTATATAAAGCACTGAAAACATATCAGTCATTGGTATACAGCATTACATAAGTGGTCAGATTTAGCAGAAACACAAACACTGGAGAAAACATCAGAAAGAAAAACAAATGTGTTACGTGATCCATTTATGAAACCAAACAATAGTCCAAGGTCTGTATCTACAGGAGTTTGCTACTCTTACTTCCTTCTCTGATTCTTTTGATTGAGCTAGAAAGAGAGTTTCAAAGAGTGTCTGCACTTTACAATTGAAAGAAAATTGCTTTTCTAGCATGCCAACTTGATGTTGTCTGATGTTTCTGTGAAATTGGCAGGAGAAAGAACATTTTCTGAAGGCTTTCCTTAGTCTGATTGCAAAGTAGGTTTAATATCCTGTAAGAACTACTTCAGGTTTTTTTGAGCAGCTCCATTTACATTTTAACAGAAAAAGTGGAAATTGACATAATTATGATGGCACCATAGTAATCAAATTTGGCTTGGCAACATCTGATGAGACCGACTTTTAAAACACAAAAAATAACAGGCATATTTCTGAATCTTGTAGAGGGAGTAACTGAACAGTTGAATGAAGTTCAGCTAGAGTTAGTAGTGTAATTGAATATCTTTTCAAGTGTCTTACAGAATAGTATGACTGAAGCAAGCAACTCAGTAATCTCCAGATATTGTGGATTTCCACCTCCACTAGCATAGTTGATGGGCTGTTTGATCTGTAGTTCAGTCTGGTCTGCATTGTGTTGCATATCCCTAACCCCTATGTTACCCCATAACCTCTAAACAACATATACTGTATGCATAGAATTTGGGTTTTCCCCCTTCCATTCAATTATACCTAATTTTCAGAGCCTGCAGTTGTCTTGGAATCCTGTAATTTTGTTAGCAAGGTTTTTCAGATGTGGTTTGCCATTCCCTCCTTCCTAGAGTTGAGAGTGAGTGAGTGGCCCAAGTCACCCAGCTGGCTTCATATGCACAAGGTAAGACTAGAACTCAGCGTTCTCTCTGTTTCTAGCCTGATGCCTTAACTGCCACACCAAAGAAGCTGTTTATTATGTGGTAACCAGAACTCAAATTAGACATATGGGAAAATTTTATTTTTTAACCAGTGAGAATTATATTATGACATATGTATCCCAGTGCAATGCATACATCTGTGCAAATACGTTTCCTCTGGCTTCAGTAGAATTTATTTTCAAATATGTGTTTATAGGACTTCATTTTTATTCCAATAACAGATTCCAAAAATTTGAAATTAGCATTGAATGGTAGGGAAATCTATGAGGCTTTGATATTTTTAAATAAAATGTTTGACATTTTTCCATCTTTTCTTTTTAAGCTAAGGTGCTCTTTCATTCCCAGTTTATCAACACAACCATCTTGTGAGTTAAGTAAGACAGATGAATGGTAATTGTGATGAATGAGCCAGGATTTAAACATCTCTTAGCCTCAGTCTAATCTCTCCAGTAAATTTTCCTGTTTGAGCTCAGTTTTCTTCATTGCCATGTTTTGGTTTTTGTGGGCAGTTGGCTGAGATGTGAGATAACGAAATATTAATTGTTTAGCTGAACCAGAACCATTTTTGCAGTGTGCTTCACTAATGAATTCCTTGTGAAGGATTTTCTTGAATGCAACTGGAATATCAGTGAAGGGCTAAATAACGATGTGAATGACCCTGACCCCTAGTTTTGACTCGTGTTCTAGCTTTTTGCCTAGTAGTGACTCGGATGAAGGTTAAAATATCAGGACTTTTTGTAGAGCCGTATATTGTTTAGTAAATAAGGAATATCATCCTCTGATTGTTATGACTGAAGCTCTTTCAGTTCCTAGGAACATTCATTTATGAGGCAAATTTACTGCTTCTTAATGTATTCTCCAGTCTAAAAAATTCCTCTTCCATACTACAACATCTTTTCTGCTCAGTGCCCTCCAGATCATTTGGAGCAATATTTTCAGCATGGCAGTTGGATATAGTAGGTATTTTTAAGTTTTTCATGAGGGGCCATGAGACACTATGACAGCTGCAACTTTACAGACTGATCGTAAATTTCCCTTATTTAGCACAATCATAATTTGAAAGTTACTGAATAAGTGGGTTGTAACTTGAGGAATATATGTAATTCTATCAGAAAATATTTCAAGCTTGGCCCCCCTTCTCAGAAACTTCTCCCTATTGATTCTTGCCTTATTCTTGGGGATTGCAGAGAATAAATCCACAAATTCTTCCCTATGACAACCCTTCAAATACTTGGAGATGGTTATAATTTCCTTAGCCTTAAAACTAGGGTTAGGGTTAGGCTAAAACTATCCAGTTCTTTTAACTGTTGTTCATAAAAGTTTGTCTCCAGATCCACCATCATCATTGTAGGTCTTCTCTGCATTATTTCCAGCTCCTTGACTTCCTTGCATTGTGGTAACCAAAACTGGACACAATAATCCAGCTGCAATCTGACCAATGCAGCATAAAACCAGAATTACCACTTTCTGTGATCTTGATATTACACCTCTACCAATGCAGCCTAAGTTTGTGTTGACCCTTTGGGCATCCAGATTCCTTTCACAGGTGCTATTGAGAACCAGGTATCAGGTAACCAGATGTAACTTTACATCCAATTTGTCCGGTCTAAATGCAGAGCCCTTCCTTTCTTGCCACTGAATGCAACAGTCAAATCTTTCAAATTCATTTTGAACTTCTGACATTTTAGCCATCTCCCCCAGTCATCTACAGATTCACTCCCAGCCAAACATTCTTGAAAAACACATCCCTCTTTTCATTCCTAACCTATAACTGAAGCCAGCTGACCTTATTTTTTTGTGTTCCATGTATAAGGTATGATATCTTTTTTCTAACACTAAGCTTTCTATATGTATGGT